ATGTCTGAATTGTCCCTCTTCCGTTCCTATATCACTTTCTTAACCCAAGCAAGCTAAAGGCAAAAGAGGAGTGAACTGCTGGGCAATGAGTCCACACAATTAACTGGTGAAGCAACCCTTGGAAATGGATAGCGCTGGCTTATTAGCAGATGACCCAGAGCCATTTTCCAGCTTAGCTGGAGCCCATGAAGGGCGCCAATTTTTGTTTGATTGTGTTTATTTTAAACATTAAGAGAATCGAATGAAAGCCCAAGCTGAGGAGGACTCAGATGTCATATGTGCAAATGTCTCAAGGTGCTGGGAAAACAAGCCACAGAAAGTTGGTCTTCTATATCTCACCTTCGTGCATAAGCAGTTTTCTGTGTGTGGATGGACGAAATGTCTGGGAGGGTTTGTTTTCTGAGAATTCAAGAAGGTCTTGGCATTCTTTACATTTTTATTTTATCTCTCCTTAAAACTGAATGACAATTGATCTCAAGGTTTCAACAGGGTTAAAATTTGCACTTTGGTTGTATTGGAAATTGAGGCAGAGCGTTGTAGTGGTTAGAGCACTGGACTAGGACCAGGGAGTGGGATGATGGCCAGAGAGAAACAGAGGTTCAAATCCCCTCTCAGCTGTGATGTTGACTGAATAATCTGGCAAATCCCTCTGAGAGAATGCACTGTAGATCACCAGGTGACGGCAACAGGTCAAACTGGGAGCCAGAAACCTCCATCAATCTGTTTAAAATCCCCAGAGAACTACAGCAGATCCCAAATCCACCTTCAGCCCACCCCCTATTCTGGAGCAACCAAAGGAATCAATACAATTTCATGAATATATTAAGGAATATATAGAAATCACTGTGGGTATTGTTGGGACAACCTTGCCTGCCTCTCAACTATTTAACAACAGCAACACCACCGTTTTAATCTAATTTGGGCTGCTGAAATGAAAACTTGCTGGGAATAGCCTTTAGTGTGAAATGACTTTGAACTCAGTTCTGATGAGGTGGCCATGTGTGCTACTTTATAAAGGGCAAACATCCTTTTAAAGCAGTGGTGGCCAAACATGGCCCTCCAGCTGTTTCAGGACTACAATTCCCATCATCCCTGGCCACTGGTCCTGTTATCTAGGGATGATGGGAGTTGTAGTCCAAAAACTGCTGGAGGGCCAAGCTTGGTCACCATTGTGTTAAAGGGTCATTGAAGAATAGCCCCCTATTTAAATGTGTCCTCTGTTTGAAGGCATCCAAGTGCTTTTTAGAGATAAAGAAGAACTATAAGAATGGAGAACGAGGGGGATTGCCAAGGTGCCCATCAACAGTTAGCAAATTGGCAGCAGACTAAGCAGGGAGATGCAGAAATCACCCAGTTGCTCTTTCCGTCTATGGTGAGATGTATTATATTTCTGTTTAAATGACAACAAGAATTTCGAAATGTGCATATAAACACATACACATATACATGTGAGGCAATCCTCTAATTAAGGAACAGCTTCTCTGTGATGGACCACACCTAAGGAGGCCAAATTTCAGCAGTGGATTTGTATCATTTGTAAAACATTTGACAAATGGAGACAATGGCAATATAAAATATTATGCTAAAACCCTTAAGCCTCACAGCTATTGCAGGAATGTTGCCAGGGGTTGGTGGGAAATAGAAGCCCTTCAAAGTTATGTTTGTTTTGAAAGGATCAAGGCCACTTAGGTGACAAGGGGATGGGGCAACCCAGGAGGAATTGGATTCTCATCTCAGTTTCATGTGCTCAACAGAGTTATAGCAGTAGGAAATCTCTAGGGGTATCAGAGTGGTGGTGTAGGCTTTTTCTGCAAGGTAAAAATTTCCAAGGAGATGTGTAAAGCAGAACCAGTTAGGGGTGGGGCGTGGGGAGAGGGGTTGGGGCTCAGGCAGGGACAGACCTGAGGGCCAGGTTGAGAGGCTTGGAGGACTACATTTGCCCACAGGCCTCAGTTTCCCACCCTTGTTCATGGACTGGAGTTGAAGTCAATGTCAGTGCTGGCTCCAGTTTTTTTGTGGGAGAGAATCGGGCAAAATTCTCTCAGTGGTCCCTCTGTAAGTTGCTCCCTCCTCTCTGCTGCCCATCTGCCTGTCCTCTCCCACCTTGGACCCCGTCTCCAGGACAGAGGAGGGCACCAGGCAAATGTACTCCATCGTCAGTCTTGCCACTGCTTCATATTCCAAAAGGGCAAGAGAGGAGGCAGAAACATCCACGAGGCAGAGATGGCACAGAGGAGCTCACTCCTCCTGGCCGAAGACTCCTTCTATCTCAGCTGGGGGAAGGAAGAGGTCCCCTCCCTCCCTCCCTCCCTCCCTCCCTCCCTCCCTCCCTTCCTTGCCTTAGCTTCATTTCCAGGTATTAAAGGTTCAAGATCCTTCTCTGATGTTGCCATTGGTTACCTGCTCCAAACACACCTTTCCCCACCTCCACTCCAGGTTTTCCCTGAATACAAAAGCTGGATTGTGTCCTTTGCACGTCACAGTGCTTACTTGCAATCCTGTACTTTTTGTTGCTTCTCTTCCTAGTTTGTGCTGATGGTTTTAATATATATATATATATATATATATATATATATACACGCAATATTTGGGGGGGGCGCATTTTCATTTGCTTAGAAAGTGGGATTGAAATGGTTTAATTAGAGGAGGAGGAGCGGCAGGCTTTGGGGAGTCAGCAATCGGCCCCTTGCCTCTGTGTAGCCTTGGTTGGGGGCCCTTTGATGCTGACCCCCAATTCTGACTCCGGTTGACAGCTCTGGACTCAGTCGTGAAGAAGACGAAGATGAAGATGAAGAAGAAGAAGAAGAAGAAGAAGAAGAAGAAGAAGAAGAGGAGGAGGAGGAGTTTGGATTTGATATCCTGCTTTATCACTACCCTAAGGAGTCTCAAATGGGACGCGGGTGGCGCTGTGGGTAAAAGCCTCAGCGCCTAGGGCTTGCCGATCGAAAGGTCGGCAGTTCGAATCCCCGCGGCGGGGTGCGCTCCCGCTACTCGGTCCCAGCGCCTAGCAGTTCGAAAGCACCCCCGGGTGCAAGTAGATAAATAGGGACCGCTTACTGGCGGGAAGGTAAACGGCGTTTCCGTGTGCTGCGCTGGCTCACCAGATGTAGCTTTGTCACGCTGGCCACGTGACCCGGAAGTGTCTCTGGACAGCGCTGGCCCCCGGCCTCTTGAGTGAGATGGGCGCACAACCCCAGAGTCTGTCAAGACTGGCCCGTACGGGCAGGGGTACCTTTACCTTTAAGGAGTCTCAAAGCGGCCAACATTCTCCCTTCCCATCCTCCCCCACAACAAACACTCTTGTGAGGTGAGTGAGGCTGAGAGACTTCAGAGAAGTGTGACTGGCCCAAGGTCACCCAGCAGCTGCATGTGGAGGAGCGGAGACGCGAACCCGGTTCACCAGATTACAAGTCCGCCGCTCTTAACCACTACACCACACTGGTTCTCACTGGTGAACCTTGTGCTTAGAGTTGGATGGCCCTGGCGAATTGAGGAGGGCTAATTAAGGACCAGCCCAACAGAACCACTTTGCCGATGAATGAATGGGAATGTTTGCACAGTGTAGTGTGTGTTGCCAAAATAACAATATCCCTCTTCTTCTGCATACATTGTAGACGTGATCCCATTTGGAAAGCCCATCTCTTTCCCTCGAATTGTTTATCAAGAATTGGATACCATCTCGCCTTGCATGAGGAAAAGAATATTTCTCAGCTCTCCTCGTGATTGAACCTGACACTCAGCAAACTCCCAGGCTGCATGCATATGAAAATTCCCTAGATCACTGGCAGGTCAAGGCAAGCCTCACAAAGAGCGTTCAGTGTAAAAGTTGCATTTCAGACGGTTCACCTGGAATTCAATCCTCCAAACTGGAGGAGATGATAATCTTTGTTTTCGTTTGGAATCACCACAAAGAATCCATTGCCTTAAAAAAAATAAATGTTAACCCTCCCAGCTGAGGCCTACAGAAGCACCATATTTCCACAGAGGAAATATGGTAAGGCCTGAACAACTTGTGAGTCTTGATCCAGCAGGCTGCAAGCAGCCCACCTAACCAGAAGTGGTGGCCTGCAAACCTATCCTGCCAGGGCGCTTAGGCCCTGGCAACTGCCTGGCTAAGGCTTGTGAGAGTGCTAGGCCAGGCAGTCTGCCGTTTCACATATTGCAGCCATTGAAGTAATGTGAAATGTTGGGCAATGTATTGAATAATGAATATACAGTCGTACCTTGGTTCTCAAACGCCCCGGAAATCATACGTTTCACCGGAAGTGAGTGTTCCAGTTTTCAAATGTTCTTTTGGAAGCCAAATGTCTGACAGGGCTTCTGTGCCTTCTGATTGGCTGCAGGAACTTCCTGCAGCCAATCAGAAGTCGTGCTTTGGAAGTCAAACGTTTTGGAAGTCAAACGGATTTCCAGAACGGATTCCGTTCTACTTCCGAGGTACAAGGCCAAATGTATATGAAGAGGCCAAATGTAGACAGGTAGCCTACCACCTGTGGAATACTTTCTGCAAAAAAGCTCACCTAGCATCCATTTTACAATTGTTATAGGAGGAGGGTGTTGCTTTGAATGATGCCCATGGGTTCCAATCAAGCCTGTGATTTTGTAACTATAGTTTTGTAACTATAGTTTGAAGCAGAAAGGACTGTTGACCTAGGACTCAGCTACATTTGTAAAGATAAAGCACTTTATATGAGTCATAACACCATGACACCAGATGGTGCTGTGGAGTCCCATCTCTCGCCAACGGGATTTCCCTGTATGAAGTTTACAGTGTGTTTAACTGATGTGTCTAGGCCACAGGACAGATGCAGGGGGAGGGCTGTGCACAGCCCTAGTTTATATAGGATATTTTAATGTAAGTTCCCTCAAGGCTTCAGCATAGGTGACGGTGCTGGGCTATGGAGATCCTTCAGCAATGTGTCATGATGGAACGCTGGTTGGATGTGGCAGTGATCCATGTTTAGAAAACCAAACGGTTGGGGTGGTATCCGTTGAGGAAAGGAGAGGAGCTTATGCGATGCAGGTGAGCCAGGGAGCAACGTTACTCGCTGTGGCGCTGTGTGCAGTCTTCTCACTAGTGCTGGGCATGGAAGGGAAACGGAAGCTCCAGATTGGGGTCAAGAAGCGGGTGGACAACTGCCCCATCAAGTCCCGCAAGGTCTGCCAAAAAAGCTGAAAAACATCTTCATGTATGCGACAACGGCCGCGAGAGTTTTAGTAGCACAAGGATGGAAGACAGAAGAAACCCCAACTAAAGAATTATGGCAAGAAAAATTGATGGACTGTGCAGAACTGGCAAAACTGACATACAAGCTATGGGACAAGGATAACTGTGACTTTAAAGATGAATGGGAACCCTTTACAAAGTATTCGAAGACGCAACAAAGCGAACTGGACTCCTTGGCTGGTTTTGAATAAACATTCACAAACTTTTTATTGATAATTATTACTTAAATAGTTTGAGGATCAATACAACTGTGTAACATGCAGAAAACAGCATTTTTAGAGAAATCAAAGACTGGAACTGAGGGAAGTCGGGGGGTGGGGGTGGGGTTCTGTGGGGGGAGGGAGGAAAAAAAGGGGGGAATAAGGATGATATGTTTCTAGATAATATATTTTGTCTCAATTTTGAATAAAAAAGTAATTAAAAAAAAAGTCCCGCAAGGGTGATGTGCTCCACATGCATTATACGGGCAAGTTGGAGGATGGGACAGAGTTCGACAGCAGCCTGACTTGTCATCAGCCGTTTATCTTCTCCTTGCGGACTGGACAAGTCATTAAAGGCTGGGATCAGGGCCTGCTTGGGATGTGTGAGGATGAGAAGAGAAAGCTGGTCATTCCCTCTGAGCTGGGTTATGGGGACTGCGGAGCACCACCCAAAATCCCAGGTGGCGCAACCTTAATCTTTGAAGCTGAGCTGCTGAACATTTAGCGAAGGCAGGAATTGTAACGACCTCTCTTCGGGGGAGAGGGCACGTGGGCAGGGGAGGTAATCTCGAGATGCGCCTCAGGATTTGTAGATACCGATGGGCCAAATAAAAGCACAGACCAGAAAAAAAACCCCAAACGGTTATAACTATGTCCTGACATCTGCTTTTCTTAATTTTTGGGATGTCGTAGAGTCAGTGGCGTAGCGTGGGTTGTCAGCACCCGGGGCAAGGGAAGTAATTTGCGCCTCCTAACCCGTGGATTTGCGCCCCCTAACCTATGGATTTGCCCTAACCCCAGTTGTTGCGCCCGGTGCGGCCGGCACCCCCTGCACCCCCCACGCTACCCCACTGCGTAGAGTTTGGACATGGGGCGCTCTGACTCTATGGGCCTGCTTTTACCCGAAGAGAAGAAAAACTTCCCACCCAAAAGAAAAGAGGGGCGCATTTTTTATTTTGCTGGTGGGAACCCTGCCGTGTCTTCACTGCCACCCTTCGCCTGAAGAAATGTGCCAGACATGATGCTCTCCTCCCTCCCTGCTGTCTCAGAAATGGACTTGGCCTACAGACGGGGGCTGATCCGTCTGGGCAGGAGGGAGGGCGAAGCGGACCTGATAACAGGGCCGGAAACCCATCAGAGACACCCGGCGGCTCTCGCCCTCTGCGCCTCGTCAAAATTACCTGCCAGAGGAGCCTCCGCTCCAGGCCTGCACCTTGTCAGCCCTTCTGGGGAACAGGAAACAGCTGCTGGGCGGGGAGGGGGGGAGTCTGGAAACATCAGTGGAAAGCAGGGTGGTGGTGCTGAGGGAAGAAAGCCATTCATAACTTTTCCTCATTACCCAGCGTGTTCGGGAGAGGATGGGGCATTTTGAAGGGACAGCGGTTGTTGAAAAATCCTCTGGCACCGAGGAGAGAAGCCGTATCTGGTTGCTATTAGCTCAGCCAGGGATTCTCTCTGTGTGCATGTGTGTTAATTGGGCAATTCGTTTTTGCTTTTATTTTAAAAATGTGCCCTCTCAGTGGATAACTCAGTGATAGCTGGTTCCCCTTGTCTGACAGGTAACCAGTCTTTTGTCACCTCAGGCTCTGCTGTTGGCCAGGGCCACAATCGCAAGGCAACGGGAGTGACAAGAAAAACAGAGAGAGACAGACAGACAGAGAGATTGGGCAGATCACAGAATTGGAGAGTTGGAAGGGACCACTAGTCCAACCCTTCAATGCAGGAACCTTTCGGCCAACATGGGGCTCGAACCCATGAGCCCGAGATTAAGAGTTTCATGCTCTACCAGCTGAGCTATCTATTCAGCACTTGAGTTGTTTTTTTTGAGCTAGATTTTTGCTGCCCCTAGGCATTATGGGCTCCATGATCACTGCAGATGGTGACAGCAGCCACAAAATTAAAAGACGCCTACTTCTTGGGAGAAAAGCAATGACAAACCTAGACAGCATCTTAAAAAGTAGAGACATCACCTTGCCAACAAAGGTCCATATACTAAAAGCTATGGTTTTCCCAGTAGTGATGTATGGAAGTGAAAGCTGGACCATAAAGAAGGCTGATCGCTGAAGAATTGATGCTTTTGAATTATGGTGCTGGAGGAGACTCTTCGAGAGTCCCATGGACTGCAAGAAGATCAAACCTCTCCATTCTGAAGGAAATCAGCCCTGAGTGCTCACTGGAAGGACAGAACCTGAAGCTGAGGCTCCAATACTTTGGCCACCTCATGAGAAGAGAAGACTCCCTGGAAAAGAACCTGATGTTGGGAAAGATGGAGGGCACAAGGAGAAGGGGGCGACAGAGGACGAGATGGCTGGACAGTGTTCTCGAAGCTACCAGCATGAGTTTGACCAAAGTGCCTGGTGTGCTCTGGTCCATGGGGTCACAAAGAGTCGGACACGACTAAACGACTAAACAACAACAAGGCATCATGGCCAATGTTCAGGAAAGACGGGAGATGTAGTCCATAGAACATCCAGAGGACACCACTTGAAAGAAATAATAGCCAGCTTTTGCAAGGTTTTCTTTGTTAAGCAAACAAAAATCTGCTCTAAAAGCTTTTGTTCAACCAAAACAACAGATGGTCATGTGTTTTGGTGTTTTTTTTTGCAAGCGTGGCATAAAGTGGGGTGAATTCAGACCCGAGGTTCAAATGTGGCACTCCAGGTCTCTCTACTTGGCCTTGGGAACTTCTCCAACCATGAGGCCACACTGTGGGCCCATAAAAACACAGAGCCCTCCCTGACGAAGGTGGAGATGCTGTAATTCCTTTTCCCACAATGCTCATGTTTCCAGGTTTTCACTGTGAATCCTTCCAAAGAAAGAGAGGGAGACAGAGAGAGATGTTCCTCACATCCTCTCTTGAGCACAGTGCTGCTCTGATTTCACAGCCTTCCTCTGGCCAAATTCTAAATACATCTTGAATGTTTTAGACAAGATAATTTTACAAAAAACTGGTTCCAGATTTTAAATCCCTGTACTGTATGTATCCCAAGTCCAAGGTCCTTCTGCTCCACTAAGGACCAGTTCTCCAAATCTCAGTATTATCCTCTTTTGAGGAGAATTTATAGCTCAGTGCCAGACAGAAAATGACCCTGGATGCCGCTTGGCTTCCATTCCATCAGTTACGCAGTTTATCAGTGTGGGTGATGCTGCCTTGTCCAATTCTTTCTCTCCTGATTTTAATTACACAGTGTGGGCAGTTCTAGGAAACAGTCACTGTGAACTGCTTGCCTCACGGTCCGTTTTAAACTCCTTTTCTGTTATGGTAGAGGCGGTTTGCACTTGTGAAATCCACATTGCAACCAGCCACTGCACCAACATCGCAGAGTAGGGAACCGTTTCCCATTTGAGGGTCACATTTCTTACTGGGAGATCTTCTGAGGGCCACGTGCCATTGATGGGCAAGGCAAATGCAAGAGTAGGGACTCAGCTAGACTGGGAATGAAAAAGCAATGTAGTGTACGTGCGTTGTAGGTGTGATATAACATTGTGCCGCCAGATGGCGATGTGGAGTCCTGTTTTTCCCTACCTGTTTTCCCTGTTTAAATTTACAATGCTTTAAACTGAAACGCTTCTTTGGTGTGTCTAGATCCAGCCTAGGTGTGGAAATGAATGTGCATTTTAGCATTGCCCATTACACACACACACACACACACACACAGAGAGAGAGAGAGAGAGAGAGAGAGAGAGAGAATTGTAGGGGAATGTTTAAAGTTTTTTTTAGAAACAGTCACAGATGTTCTATGTGTGCACCCTTTGTCACATGACACACATCAAACCGGTAATCCATTTCTGCCCAAACACGACTCACCCTACACGTTGATTTTCCTGGGCTTCATTGAATGGCAGTGCAAACACTATAGACTTCTTCCGATTCACACGGTCATCCAGGACTTATAAGTTTGCACAAACAGCCTGTAGTTTCAGGGTTTTTTTATGCCAATTGTAGATATATTTTCTGCTTGGAGTTTTTTTCCCCCAAATCGCGACTGAAATGCCATCGCACAACAGTTACAGATTCTATTTTGCTCAATTCAAGAACACAAAACACCTTCTCCATTGCAGACGCAGCCATTTTGTCTGACTAGTCACGTGACACGCACGCTATCGCCTATGTCACTTCCCTCAGTAGCAGAACACAAACTTTATGAGGACATCTACCTCAAGGATTAACCAGTTGTGGTCCATGTCATCTCCTGTTACTGTCTTATAGCATCTGGAAACTGTATGAATTATGAACCACCCTGTATATTTAAAGCACCATAATACCACTTTAAACAGTCATGACTCAGACCTTCCAAGTGTCCCTTGTTGCAAAAGCTAGGTTCCTGCCCCTCTCTCTGCCAAGCTGTGGTGAGAGCCCATGGGGTCCAAGGCACCCACACAGGGTCTGTGTTCCTTTGGAGAATAGAAGACTGCCATGCTTTAAGAAACATGGTTTATTTACCTATTTAAACCTTCAGTCCGCATGGAGGAAGTCCAGATCTTACAGCAGTGCAGGGAACCTTTTGTCTCCCTCTCCAAGACGGATCTCAGCCCTTCTTCCGCCTCCTCTCTCCCAGAAAACCCCTTGCTTGAAAACTCCCTTTTCCTGTCCCCTCAAACATATACCTTGGTATAACATCTCACCCCCTAGCCTAAAGGATTCCTCTCCTCAATGGTCCATCAACTCCTTGTGTCATGTTAGGTTTTGCTCTTCACTAAACCAGCCTAGGTTTGCATAAGCCAGCCTAGGAATTCCTTTGTAGCTTGCATTCTCCTTTCATATCACAAATGATCCAAACCCTACCTAGCATTTATTAACTTCTAGGGTTTACCCTAACTCTGTAACACCCTATTTTCCAGTGAAAGTCCCAGATTTACAGAAGCCATCCCAGTTTCTAATTTGATCCTGGAATGTCCTGCTTTTCCTTAGGATGTCCCTATTCTCATCGAAGAAATACTGGAGGGTATGGAGTTATGTGACCCCTGAGCCAAGCAGATAAGTAACTATCCAACCTTTAGAAGACATCTGAAGGTAGCCCTGTAAAAGGGAAGCGTTTTTGTGTGTGTGTTTGCTAGGAGACCCCTATTCCCCACCCCTAAGAGCTACAATTCCCAGAGTTCCCTGAGAAGAAGGATTGGTTGTTAAACCACTCTGAAAATTGTAGCTCTGTGCAGCACGAGGGGATGTTTTTAAGAGGGAGAACTCTTGTTTTAAAGTGAGAGAAAAAGACAAAACAAAAGCAACGGGCATCTTAACAACATCAACAAAAACCCATTGCTTATTTTGGTGTTCTTTTTACATCAAATCACAATATTAAAAGAGAGAGAGAGAGAAATGGTCTTGACATGGGATTTCTAGCCAGGAACCCAAAATAGGAGATTTTTTTCATCTTGAAAAATGGAGATTTGTCCCACATAATAGCGTGTCAACAACAGAAAAGTTCCTGGAATTCCTCCCACACAAACACTCCCCGCCCACCCCCCAAAAAGGGCCTGTGCTGCAGTGGATGCTCCCATTTCCCAGCCCTGGTCAAATG